CTTTGATTCCTGCACGTCTAAAGATTCTGTTACCAGGTCTCGGATTTTTGAAGATAATTGCTAAGCTACTTCAGCGATTCTATTCTTATAAATGCAAACCGTTGAACTTAGCTATAGCCTCTTTCTTGAACTTCATAACTGATGTTTCAGAATTATAACTTACTGGTAGAAGTGGTAATAGTTGAAGTTTGCAGCTAGTTTATCGCTCATTGCTTTTTCTTATTTCATTCTTTAAGAAGCTTCTAAAACGTTGTATGGAAATGACCTTTAAACATTTTCTTGATCTCACTCTGTGCTTTGTTTTTTATATATTTTTGGATTGTTCATGGTGGATATGAACGAAGTAGCAGGTTTGGAAGGCCTCAGGCGAATAATAAACTCAACACGGTTGTTTTGAGGAAATATTTCCGTGCCTTTTAACAATCGTGTAATTGGACATTCAAAATGTTCTCGAGATGCTTCGTTCGTATTAGCTTAGGTTGTTTTCATTGAATGTTTATTCGTGACACATATAAATATTGCTTTGAATTATAGTTGTTTAGATTTTATATTGTTTAAGTAATTTGTTTTATGATGACTACATATATTCCTGTAAATTACAAGTGGTGTTTCTGTACACTGCAGTTTTAGCGGATGCAAATTAATAACTTTGAATTCATTGAATGAACAATGGCGTTAAAGATGAAAAGAAGAGACATTCTACACTTGTCCAACTTTTGAGAAGGCATTCATAGATGAGTACTTCGTTGCATATACTACAGCACCATTGAAACATTAATTTCGGAACTGCATCATGGGGACGGGAGTCATTTCGTGTGTAACTCTTCAATTTTCTTCGCAATATTAACGAAGAAATCTTTCACATCCTTTATAATCTTCTCTTTGTCAATGTCATCATATTTCATCTTTAGCATCTAAAAATGTTTGACTGTTTTAATTTGATACTGATTATTAATTGTAGCGAAAATAGGGAAAGATCTCTACTTCTCACGACTCCTTGCAGCACTAATTGAGCTGAAATCCGGTCTGACTATAACTGCGCTACACTCTTTACCGCTATAACGACTACAAAGCTATTACCTTCCATAATTTCACCACATAGTTGTATAGGATTTTGTAGTGTTTATTCACCTGGCACTGGAAGTCACATATCTGAAATAGGTGTTGTTTTGGGACGTATATCTTACACAAGAAACTCGGAAACAGCAAGGAGGCGCACAGTCACCCTTCGAAACATACCATATTCGTCAGTGAATATAGCATATTAATAATACTATGTCAGTCAGTTCGTCACAGTTGTAGTTGTTTGAACAACGCAACTGGAAGACGACAGTATTATTAAGGTGGTTTATTGTCATTTATTAAAAAAATAGTGCTTACGTCAGTCGAATTCTCAATATCCAGTAATCTTTGGTCTCTCGTTATCATCAATTCGGTCCCTTTACAGTCACTATATACCTGCAGAACCAATGAAATAATTCTGATTTTCTAAGGCTTAAAATTCAATTTGAAAATAAATTCGTGAATTGAATAGTTCTACGAATGCCGGGAATAGTGTTGCGCCAAAATGAATGCTCGTTGAAATAGAGATTTACTGTAGTTTACCTTAATTTTTTTATATGCTTTCAGCGACTCGCAATCGAATTGTGCATTACCTTCCACGTCAATGGCCTTAAATTCATTCTGAAGTAACTTTTTCCTATCGAAATTTAAAATATTCATTGTTAACAATGACTCTGCGTTACCATTAAGTCCGGGAATAATTCCAAAATGGATTTTTCGTCAGGAAGCTTTTCGATTGCATTATTTGTCAATCCTATCACAATAAATCCTCGCAAACGAATGTCTGGCAGTTCAAGCTGGAATTATTAAACCATGTCTTTTATAATGCATGCGATGTGTTTCATTATGCAAATTACATTTTAAACAAAACTCTTAAATATCCAAAATTTCATATACTGAAAGGAACTTACTGTAGTTCGGCGGCCATTATGGCAATAGATTACTTCGTCATCTGTATCACATTGACACTCATCCAAACAAGGGAACACATATCCTTAATTAAATATGAATTCATTGAGCGAATAATTAGAACCACTGAATTTACTTGGATACATGTTAGTAGTACGATACGTTCATCTGTTAAATTCAGCTACTATTAGACTCTCAAAATACTGATTGTACCCCTTATGATATTATCCATTTTTTATGACACGTTTCTAATCGATTTCACAATGGCTTTTTCTGAACAAACTTACAGGCATACATAAGGTACAATAACTTCGTTCATCCATCAGAAAAATCACATTGAGTTACCTTCCGTCGTATGAATTATGAATCTGTATGAAGATGAAAAGAAGCTAATATGAAATATGCACTTTTAGAACTTACCATGAATTGCTGATAAAATGACTGAAAGATAAAAGGTCGCGAAAAGACTAAAGTTGATCATCTGAAATAACAAATTCGAATGAAAAAAAAATGACAAAAAATGTAAATTATCGTCGATCGAAGTGCAACTGAATGACATTCTTTCAGATAACATCCTTGAATGACATCTTTAGCATTGATCTCTTAACACAGTTCAGAAATGACAGATAGGAGAACAAAAGTTTCCAAAAATTAAGGAATAAATGACTAGAAACTGAACAGCCGCATTTATTTACTTGACTCATTCAATTGATCAATATATTTTAATGGAGAACAACAAATTTTTCAAGTGATTTCTAAATCAAAGATCAACTCCAATTACTGCATTTCTCATTGCGTTCTATAAGAGAGATGGTATGTTATTTCAGTCTCATCGTACCTAATATCTTTTCTATCTTTTGTTGGCTGAAAATACTGAATAAAAAAAAGGTGAAGAAACAAATAAACAGTGAATTTTGGGATTTAGTTTTAAAAATATCAAAGTACATGAAAGTAAAAATTTGACAGTGGATGCATTGTTATTGTCATTCATTTGGTAATGAATAATAATATGAAAAAGTCCACATCTTACTAGCTTGGATAGTGGAAAATTACACTTTAGTTAGTCATATGGTACTTGTAATGCAATCTACTTGCATTCAAGCTGAGTAAATTATGGCGTAAATAATTAGAACAGCTGTGTCACTAAAATAAGGTAAGATATCCTTGTACAAGTTAGCTTGATTCATCAAAGAAGCATGTAAGCATGCAAATAAGCACGACGACATGCATTCTATTGTGCTTCCAGACAGCATAAAAGAGAACAGTAACTGACCGCTTTCGCTGGCTCAATGTTCATTTTCTCTTGGAAGTGAAGGACAGTGAGAGAAGCAAAACTACAGAACTTTCCTTTGGGAAGGTCAGCAGAGAAGAGGCATATGACCTTTGCAAGTAACTAATTGTTTACTTCACTAATGCATAACAATACATCTATATATATATATGGAAATGGACATTCCTTATTGGTGACTATGAGGAGAGTGGTGCAAAATTACTCCGGTAGCGATCAAGATGGATCCCGCTCATTTATCATCAATATGACTTTTCGACGTTGACTCATGCGTGCATCCTAATGACTCATTCTTCATGAAATGCAAACTGAAAAGCATGCATTCCTCGTATAATTTTCTGTTTCGGTTTAAGCTAAGAAGTGGAAGTTTACAACAGAGAATCTTCCTAACTTTTTTCATCCTCAAATTGAAAGCGATTGTTATTGTTGAAAATGCCTCTGAGAGGCTTTGTGTAAGAAATGTTTCCGACCTCGGTGTATATCGTTCGGGAAAAGCGCTTAAACAGTAAAGCACTTTGTTGAAAATGAATGTTGTGATTTAAGCGCTATGGAATGCTTTCCGCTCTCTGTTCCATTTTTCATTTCCCTCTCTCTCACGTATTCCCTTCCATATGCTCTGTTCATGATTCCCACAAAAAGGCATCAAATAAACCATTTCCCATACAGTACACTTTCCCGTTCCATACCTCTTCCATCTATCTCAAAAACTTATCCGGTTTACTGGCTTGACAAAAGTATGGTATGATTTATTATCATTCATACCTTTTTCCATTATTTCCCTTGCCAGTTATTTTACTAAAAATCATCTTCTTGTGTTTTTTTTCTGAATTTCTTTACAAAAATATCATCTTTCAATACATGTACCACGACGTTAGTAATCCAAAACGGATTTATAGCAAGTAATGTATAAAGAAAAGCAGAAATGCGACAAGGGAAAGAAATGGTGGGTAGATGTTTATGCTAGGTGACACAAAAAGATTAAATTGAGTTTTAAATGAACATTATTGCATTCTAGTTTCATCTAAATCTTCATAGCTTAAAGAAAAGTAAGCGAGCGCGGGAAAACCTCTAGAAGTTTTTAGGGAGTGAACTATCATGTTCAGTTAGATATCACAAGAATTTGCTGTCTTACAATAATTGAACCATTCCAAGGAATCAGAGAGAAACTGTTGGTCTAAATTGGCAACCAATTTCTTTTATAACAAATATAAAATATCAATATCACTAAATCACATTAAAGGTCATCAATATTCTACCAAATGTTTCTGTTCCTGGTTGTTGTCTTTAAAGCCAATATCGTTTGACTTTTTGTGTTAAGAGCACAGAAGATAGAATTAATTTGATATCATAACATCAGCTAATGATAAACTTTTGCCCTTTCTTCAGTCTTAATGTCCTTTCCCTTCCTAATACTGTTATCGAGTGTAAAACCGATGTAGCTCTTATTGTTCACATATCTATTTGCCATTATTTCATAACAACTTTTATTATCCTTAATACTGATAATGATAAGGATAAATTGGAAATGTTTTCGAACGATTAAACTTCTGATTATATATTTCACACTCCGCAGTTCAGTAGTCTACATTCACTTCAGTTCACTTCAACCTTTGTACAGTGCTAAGTGAGGATTTCATAAACCTAAACGACAGTTATTTGCACTGTCAGATGACTGTATTTCATTTTCCTTATCTTTCAAGTTACTTATATTTTAGGTGATATATTTCTAGAAGTCGTATCCATGGTATGGAAGTTGACTTGGTCAGGCAGTGAGCAAGAAGACGAAGGACTAAAGGTCGTATATTGTGATGTAATTATGAAATAAAGATGTTGATAGCTCACTTTGGAACACAAATTCTCTTCTTTATGCCTATAAATGCAAATTTCAGGTACTGCAGAAATTTTGCAGAAGAAAATACCGACATTTTCTTACGAATGCTTTAAAAAACTCAAAAACTCACAAGCTAGAGTCTATAGAAGCTGAAAACGTGGATTTTGTTGGATTGAGTACAAACAATATTACCACGGTAATACTGTTTAATATGTGAGGTGATGTACAATAGAAGTGCTTCTTCCTTTACCATTTTGCATTTTTTCTGTTCGCTGCTTGACCACTCCATTTAAAACTTTTTGAAACTTTATAGATAATAGAATGAAAGAACAACAGTAGAAGGGATGGATGAACCAAAACATAGTTGATACTATTATGAACAGCAATCAAACGTTGAAGATAATGAGCAACATGTCTAGAGTATAGATTTAACGCTCCTTTTTGCGCTGGAAGCACAGTATCGCTTTACGGTCGAAAAAGCGGGGCTTATCTCCCGGAAGTACTTGTTGACAATATCTGGTGTAAAGCTGAATTCAGAAAGTGTGTGCATAAAGTTTTTGAGATTTGACTTTCAGGATACTACAGATTATGGTAAATACAGTATTTATAAGGAAGGAATCAGTCAGCCAAATGTATATGATGTTATCGAAGAAATCTTGAACAGTCACGGCAAGTAAGTTGTTTAATTTATCTCGAACATATTAAAAGAAATTAAATCATAGTGTAATTTTGTCTGTACTGTGTAGCAGTAGTGATTTGCTTGAGTATAATGCTTAACTCAATGGATTTATTTGTAGCCATATACGAAGCTAAGATTAGATAAGTTACTTATTGCAAAGATGGAAATATGCACATGATAGTAGAGGTATGGATAGATTAAAAATGTCTGGATATCAATGCAGCGATCTTAATTTTAAGATTACTCTAATGAAAGTTTTTTTCTAACTGAAATTGTATAGACTACGTTCTTCATTCTTATGTTCACGAACAGGCCAAACCGCCATCATCCAATCAATTTGTTGTGGTACAATCTTGAATTCAAATTTGGTCGTTGGGTCAAATGCATATTACTATTGTTAGTGCTAATTGCATATGCTCTTGTTGGTGGCTTGCTTGTTCACCAATTTGAAGCACCTGCTGAACGTGAGCTCATTGCTCAGCTCGACCAAGTAATTTTATCACCAATATCAATTGTCGTATTTTTTTTGGATCCTTATTATCATTACACTTACAGCAAACCGTAGAGCGCCACAAAATTTATGCGAAAAAAATATCAGGATTGTTTACATCGCCACACTGTTACTCAGCGACAAAACAAAATGATAGTCGAAGTAGTACCAGGGTGAGCTTTCTAGAATACTTCCAATTGCACAATAATTTCTTTGTCATAAATCCTTGAGAAAAGAAATTTGGTTTTAATTATAGTTTATCATATAACTAGCTATCTGTTAACGAAATTATTAGCTAAATAATAGCTAACAGGATGTGCTAATGTCCTTTGTGTAATCATGATTTGAGTTGTTAGGCTTTTGTGAAAATAAGAGAGAAATTTCAATCACATGCTTAGGAAGTCTTTTTCTTCTGAATTGTGGTTAAATTGAAATGTGGAGCATTCAATTGGATACTGTAGATAGCACCACTTTCAAAACAGATAACATGTAATAGAAGGCTTGAACTGCTACTAGAGGAATACGACGAACTAATGGGTATCTTGGCCTACAAACACAATCTCTGGAGATGGGCCGATTACTGGAATGCTGTGTTTTATTGTGGCACTATTTTCACCACCATTGGTTTGTTCTTCATTTTTTTGTTGCGGAACCTTACAAAGATTTTCTAAGAGTCCTGATCTGCTAAATTTTTTCCGCTGATAGTGCTATATACAGGTTTCTAAAACGTTATTGTAAAATTCAGGATATGGAAATATATGGTGCCGAACCACCAAGGGCAGGATTTTTACTATTTTATATGCTTTATTGGGTGTGCCGTACATGTTGGTAGTACTGAATGAATTTGGAAACTTGATTCTTCTTTATGTGCGCAGTATTTGGTTTTTTATTCGAAAATGTTTTAAATGCTTCACACAATTTGTATTAAGGTGAGCCGATTGAAATTTTAGCATAAATATGCTACTGTACATACCTTTTGCCCATAATGTAACTATTTAAGGTGGAGAACGAGAGAGTATCAGGTTTCTAATGAAGCTCAAATTAGAATGAAAAAAATCCATGAAGTGGTGAAAAACAATAACTGTGACAGCAACCAAAACGTTTGTTTCTTACTTTTTAATACATTTTTTTTTTTTTTTTCACTTCGTGCAAAAACCGCAGAGTGAACTGAAAGATTTTTCAATTCAAATTGGAAGGTCGTATGAAAATTCAATTATGCAGTAGATTACTTCGTTCTTACCATTTTTCCTCTTCTGTATTAAACTTACCTTAACATTTCTGATTAATCGAACAATGACATCGATTATGTGACACTGGCCATGAAGGTGATTGTTTCCTTATATTTTGATAGTGGAACAGTTGAACTGGTAATCATATTCTGCGAAAATTAGTGTTATGATTATTTGTATTAACCATTTAAAAATGGAGCAGAGAATCAGAGATTGAATGAAAATTCACTCAGCTATATCACTTATTAAAGATTATTAATTGAAATAATTGAGAATAGAAAAGCCGACGTAGTAGATTTAGTATATTTATTGCAGGATGAAACGAACAATGAGAACGATGCTTACGAAACATTTCCAATTTACGGCGCAATTCTAATAATCATTGTTTACATCGCAATTTGCTCCTTCATATTTCGCATATGGGAACACTGGGACTATTTCACCGCTTTCTACTTCTTCTTCATCTCTTTAACCACCGTCGGATTGGGAGATGAAATGCCAGATCACCCCCATTTTGCATGCGGTAAACTTCCTTTCGCATTATACTAAAACTCTCAGTTTTCTATCTCTTTTTCTGAAATCTCATCTTTATGTTAGTAACTGCAACTTTAACTGAAGTACTGAATATAATTTGAGTAGCTAAAAATTTATGCATAAATATGGACTTTTTCAGTATTTTTCATATTTTTTATCGTTGGACTGGCTCTAGTGTCGATGTGTGTGTCAAGCGTACAGATGGAATTCGAAATGAGATTCATGAAAGCAATCAATCTAATAGATGAATACAGTAGAGAGCGACAACGTCGGGACCAGAAAAGCTTGCTGAAAACTGTTGGTAACTTTTATGTTCGTCTTCCTTCCAAGTGATAGGGTAAGTGAAAGCTACTATCCTTTCTACTGAAATTGCTGGTGAAAAAAGAAGTGTGTAAAAGGATGTGAGGTAAAACTTTTCCTGGACTTATTTTTTTGCAAAGTGCTAATTGTGCTTCAGGAGGCCCACTAAGATTCATCAACTCAGTCCCTGTGTTGAATCCGCTTGCGTTTGTACCAACTGTTTCAAATGATCTCACAAAAGAACGGTACTTATTTTACACTGCCTACGCCTTCATATGCTTCAATGAGCAGCTCACCAGCAAAAATTCTGCATTTTGTAGCTTCAAATAGCTCTAGTCAGTCCCAGCGGTTGTCAACATTTCAGTGCATACCATCTTACAACCTAGGGCTGCCTTCATGTGTTTATTAAATTACTTCAGCTCAATGATGATCACCATGCTTACTTATCATTCTTCAAGTTTCCGAATTAGTAAAATCTTTAATACGAAATATATAGCCATCCCGACCTTTTACACAAACAAGGAATGCTTGAAAGAACAAATTCTTCCCAAACCTAAGCTAGTTCAACTGCACCGGCTCTACAAATTACATTTGATCCGAAGTGTCCGGAAAGAAGCGCAACAACTCATCATGTTTCCAGTGTTCCATACACATTGCTGATAAAATTCTGGCCATAGTAACACTAGCATTTCAGTCGAGCCATGCCTTTATGTTCGTATTGTTATAAATTTAACAGTTGGAAATGAGGTTTCAGATGCATACATGTGTCCTTAGAGAAATCACAAAACAGCCTCCAAAGAGTACCTCCCGTCTTAGAAACAGTGTTGTGTCGAACAAGCGTGCGGCTTTCCAGAAAGAAAAGGCAGGAAATAACAGCATAATCGTGAAATGGCAAATGGGATTGTTCGAAATATATCCATGAATTTTTATGTCTGTATTCTGCTGTCAAACTATAGCCAATTTTACAGAGCTACAATTCGTGCATTTCTTTATAATCTAGAACGGTCTTTTTCTATACTAAGGTTTTCGCTTGCAACGACTATTTGAAAAGCTTTTTCTATTCACTGATATTATTAGAACTTTCTCATGTCCTGTATGTATGTTTCTTACTGCCGTAAGGGAATATTTCGGTCGCTCGCTAACATCTCCACATATTTTCAAAGGACATTTCGCTTCCTTGCTGCTAATATGTTAAGATTAATGAAATTTCATAAAGTCTTCCAGACCATCACTAACTAGTAATAACTCATTAATAGGTCCAACACACAATGCATAAAAACCAGTCGAGGAATTATTTTCGACAGAAATGGTGCGATGAGTTGTCGATAGCAGTACTGTTACTGTTAACGTAATATTTTTTAATGTGGAAGTGTGAAATGGTTTCAATAAGTTAATTTTTATCAATTTTTTATCGAAGACATCAGTAGACAATATTCCATCCAATGTTACAGCTGAGTATAAATAACACAGATGAACTGATTTCACAAATTTACAAATAAACAGCAACTGGATTATACGTTCCCTCACATAGGATGTCATTTCGAATGATTTCACGCTATGCTCCCTTCCACTTCTTAAACGAACTTAGTAAATGTAGAGGAGAAAGAAATATCCTAACGGAGCTTGAAGTTTTAAACTCCTCGAATCTACAACATCCTCGCTGGTCATGACAAATTCCGTCGAGATTTAGCATGAATCTTCACAGAATAAGCAAGGCTGCGGTAGTTCAGCATTCAGTCCGACGATATCGATGTCTTCCATTTTGCAGTTGCACAAACAACCACTTGCCGCGCATTCCGCATGACCATTGAACCAATGCCATAAATGTGCCATGTGACCACCATGACGGCATTTCTAAACAAAAAATCAGACCAGACTTGTGCTATCTTTCTAAATAATCCCATTTTTATGTATTTACAACTAACTGAAATCTCAAATTGACAAATAACAGTGACAAAACAAGCTGCTCTTATTTTGTTATTCAATAATATTTTAGTGATATCATTTCAAAAACATGTTAGTGGCTAAATTCCCTAAACCTAAAATATATATTACTTTTTTGCTCGTTAGGAAATTATAGTATCATTAAATTACTTACAGACCCATTAATAATGCTTTAATTAGTGCTGTAAGAAATTTTTCTTTCAAAATTTTCTTCGAAATTTCCAAACATGGAGGAGCAATTATACGCAAGTTAAATGTTCCTACTTCACATATAATTTAGAACATCTCATCTCTTTTTCAAATAGCACCATTGTTTTGTACTACATGAAAGCTAATCAGAAGTTAAAACTCATTCCCTAATGAATCTAACAAGCGTAACAAATTTGATAGATTTTTCAAGTTTCGAAAAAAAAAGTGTGAAAAGTACTTGACACCAGGTGAACCAAGAAGATAAGAGGCCAAGTTCGTGACATTCTGTCTGAACATAAGAACCCATGTGTCTATGACACAGTATGCATTTAGGAAGTGGCTTCAGACAACGAGGACATGCCATTTCTCGAGCTGGAATCGATGGGGCACCTGATGGCCTCAAAATAAATACCTAATCATTTCGTATATCATGGTTGTAAATTATTGGTTTATTACTAATTCAAAATACTACGAAAAACGCTAAACTTTGGCATACAACAACTGAACCCTTCGCTTCCACGTATCAATTAACTGAATGAGTAAAAATTTACCAGAAAATAGCCATCAACGATAGAAAATTGCAACCATACTAATTTCGCTGTTTTAATAGTACAAAGTCGATTTACGCATGTGAGGTTGACATGTCGCATTTTACTGAATAAAAGCAGAAAGACTAACGTCGTAGAAATGTTCGGTCGAGTTGCAGGTACGAGTACTGCAGAGGGCACCACTGAAGTTGTTGAAGTATCTGTCTTATCTAATGTGATATTCTGTGGACAAAACTGACAACAAATTTCAGCCTGAAAACCAAATTACAAGTACAGAAACAATTATATAAATAAGCATATAAAAAAATTTCAAGCAAAAAAACACTAGCTTGTACAGCATTTTGATTCATTCTTGGTTCTACTGAAATCATATCTCGTCTCCATCCAAGTATACAATCAAGACGAGCCCTCTGCACCCACATACCCCATGTGTTCAGCATATCCAGATAATCACACACAATAGTACAACTTCGTCTCATATGTTCATCTCTGCAAATATCCAGTTAATTGAAAGGAATAATAAATGAGAAGAAATGTAAAGAATGGATACATTTACAATACTGGGTAAATAACCTATTAATACAAGGCTTTCATAATCTACTTTTACAAATTCGGTTTGAAAAAGCTTCGTTAAAAAAGCTGAGAGGTACTTACAATTCATTACATGCTTCATTATCCTCAGTAGCTAGTAACTCGAAATCACTACTAGCAACTCCTTCGGCCGAGTAAGTTATAGGCCAGGATTGGTCCTTCATAAAACAGCGTCCCACTACCAACAGAACTGTAGCTGTTTGTATGTCACCCGTATAATCCACGTATCCAAATATTAATAAAATAAGTTTAACACTATTTCAGAATTTTATGAATAAAATATAATTATTTCTGATCAAAAAATCCAGTACACATTCGCTCTTTTGCTTCAAGTAAATATAATAATATAATAATAACACTCACTGAGACAATAAGTCATGAGTAGCCTTTTCATACGAAATACCAATTATAAGCAATCCAAAAAGTGTTCGGTATAAACATGCATTTGTGAATAACTCCTTTATCGATTTCATAAAATATTGGTCGCTAAAGTGAATGGCAGCGAAAGCAATTCTGTCTTCCAATGAGATGTCCTGGAATGTAGTCTTCTACATATCCATTTTTTAAGAACAATAACAAATCATTAATTCATTCACTTCCAAGTTCTCTCAATCACGCCTTTCAAATTATTCCATGAAGTGATAAGATGTATAACTTACTTGTTGATGAATAATGCCGGAAAAGTTATCAGAACGGTTATTCAGAAATGTTATGATCATATTGAAATAAGGATCCTTTACAGTGTTTCTGAGATTTTCAGAAAACGATTTCCTACAATAATTTTAGAGCAGAGGCACAAGCGCAATAAGAATAAATTTGATAAGCTGATGCACAAGATACCATTGTCCTGGCGATCTTTGGTAATATTGCAGAGCTTCCTGGAAAACTTCCATTTCCAGTAAACCTTCATCATTCGACTCTTTGCCCTTTTCTAACATCAAATTCAGGATCTGAAAGAAAATGGGAAGAAAAGAATTATTACCACACTAACACAAATTTGAAATGAGCCCACTTTTTCCATTTTCGATGAATTGGCTGTAATCAGCGCTGCAGCTACTGCCCGACTTTGCGTCCTCCTGAACAACAGCAAAACTTTTAGAAATATTAAAAGAGCTTATCAATTTTATGTTCTTCGATATTTCATATGTACGTTACAATGAATAAAAAAATACTTAGAAAAATGTTTACTACAACTGAGATAAAAGCAACAGTGTTCATGTTATTTGCTTTTATTTTCTCTTCCAATAAGCAGTTATATTACAATAAGAGTGACGTCCTAATCAAAGAAGTCAGCAAGAACTTACCTTTCCATAAAGTTCGTGTCAATGAATGCATCGAGCTGTGCGATGTCTCCAAGATTAGGCCAACCACATATCTTAAGCACCCGATCTCGTTCTTTCCCTTTGTACAACTGTAACATCAACAATATTGATATTTACTTTATCAAGGTACTGCGTTTTTTTCCTTCGTAAGTACAAAGTGAACAAATGATAAGAAAAAAAAGGCACTTAAGGGATGTATTATATATATATATATATATTTTTTTTTTTTAATATTATATTAAAGGTTTGATAGGAATCATACAGTTCATTAAGGTCCAGATGTATCGGAGCTCAAACCTTAGCAAAAGAATTACAAGTAGAGGTGAATAAAAATTTTCGTGTTTTGACAAAGGCAAAATTTCAAAGTTTCAAATGTGAGAATTTTCCTCATTTTGATATAATTAAATAACCATGTAAATGAAAAGAAAGTTACAATGAAATTATAATCAATTAAAGGTAATGTATGCGAATGAGGACTCACTGAAATGTGTCCAAGTAAGGGATCAGAAACAAAGATCTGCTCTGTAGTAAGTTCATCTTTGTTCGGATCTAAACCGTGTTGCATTATATTCATAACACCCGGAAACCTGTAAGTTCAGGACAACATCAACAAAAAGAAAATTTTTGAAAAGTCATAAACGCAAGCTTACAATGCCCCATAGACACATGGTTTCCAATCCATTATATTAATCATATGACGTATCCACTTCCACAACCATTTCACTTCAGACGTCGAATATGGACAACAATCTATAATCTCTTTGCAAGATCGTGTATACGCTGAAATTAATTTTCGAATCACTGCTAGGAATACGCAGGCTGGATATATCAGTTTCTATTTTTTTTAATTACCTTCCAGAGTAGTGCTTGAAGGAGAGCCAAAATTTTTAGCAGCACGATTCTTCATGATAAATGAAATATCTGCTAATTCATCAGTTACAACTGGATCTGCATTGCGCACATAAAGCTGATTACCAGATGCATGAGCAACAAAGCCCTGCGATGAATAATCGCCTGTCACAAACTTATTCACCTATAAAAAAAAAAAAAAACAAAAGAAATGTTTTCGTAGACGAATCAAGCATAACATCAATATTTCAAAGAACTGCATTCGAAATGAATAACGAACCGTAGCAAGCCTAACTTCAAACGCGCCACGTCCTCCATCTGGTGCCACGACTAACAAACGATTACAATTCTCAGGATGCCAGGTAAACCCAGAAACTCTTGAAATGCCGAAGAACTGGAAAGGAATTCACTAGAAGCAGAGATTTCGGCCAGAAGAATAGCTGTCACAAATTACATTATCACCAATTCATCATCATATTTAAGACATTAAGCATGATAACCGTTTTGAGACACGGCAGAAAAGTTGTTACTTTTTTGCCATGTTGCAAAAAAAAATGCAAAAAAATAAGACCTATTCTTCACGTACCTTATAATTGAGTTGTAAATAAGAATGTGATAACTTCATGGAGACAATATCTTCCGAATACCGAGTACCACGAAATCCTCCTTGCATCAAATCAATTGTATCTGACATTGGAAACTAAACAAATCATCATTCATAGCAGAAAATGTTTATTTCTCCAAGGAAAAACCATTACTTATTACTTCTATCAAAAATAACTTATGGTACATGGATAGATAACAGCAATATGTGAACAATAATCAGAACATACACTTGGAATTTCTATTATGCTATGATCCTCTAGAATGCTTTCGCATGGTGATATAAGTTCTGTAACAACTCTAGAATTCCGGCGGAAGCAGGATAAGCAACTTGGAGAATGAGGATTCCATAATATTTTCACTGCACCTGTATCATTCTTCTTCTAAAATATTCCATATTACTCAGTCATCAATTAATTGGCACTATGCAGCCATTCTTTACCTCATTATTAGATCTAATTTGAAACTCTTAGTTAATGAAAAATCATAATGATGGAAGAATAACTTGGCTTATTATATTCTTGTAAAACATAGAAATGACTCACAAAATAGGAAATTTGCATCCTATATAACGGAGATTTTAAATGTCTTCGATCGTATATACAAACAAAATCGTCAATGATGGAGGCAATACAAAAATGTACGTCACCAGCACTTATGCTTCGAACTTGATTTGAAACAGATACAGAGTAAACTGGCCGCGCACCTTCTCGTATATCGAAAAACTTCATTGAGCGTGAACAAGCCAAACATAGTATACTAGGATCATTCCTATATTTCAAAATATGTAAGCACTCCTTCGCATTTGAAAGATTAATCATTCAAAAAGAAAAACTATGACGTGAACAGCTTGTAATTTTGGAGACAACTTGAATAATCAGTCATTAAGCTAACATTTAAACCGCACTTATCAAGAACAGAAATAGGATTACTACTTACCTGAGCCAAGTCAAATCCATCACGCGTTCATTGCAATTAACAGAAAAAACATGAAGTTTCGGATTGCTGATGTCGAACACGCAGATAGTGTAATCTTGGGAACGTCCACTGAAAAAATTACGTTTTCAGAAATCCGAAGAATATACACTGAAAACTTACCCTTCCAGACATGCAGCCAAGTAAGTATACGTTACAGAACTGAAGTTTAAGAATGCAACTGGCTTTGGCATATCACACACGAATTCCATAGTTTCCATAGTGTCATCCAGATTACTGAAATGATCCAATTTATGCGCAAATGGGGAAGTACTGGAAGGAAATATTGACTAAGCAATTTACACCTCAAGAATTGTTTCTAAATGATGATCTAGTGTAAAAGCTTACCTAATATCTGGTTCAGCAGCTACCTTAGTTACTACCACTCTTCCATTTGCATAGCCCAGTGCTAAAGCCTCATCAGACAAAGGGCTTAGGTCAAAACACTGTAGATGGTCCTGAAAAATACTCCTGTAAGCTCTATTTCTTATACATCTCTTCGCTAAAAATTAATTTAAAATTATCAAAAACAGCTGAATCTGGCTGCCATTTCCCATTAACATTGTTGAAGTTTATACTATTCAGTCTGCGTTGACGGTTAAACATTATTATGCTTACATAAAAATTCTGGAACCGCCTTCAATAAATTATCATTCCCTTTGTCATATAATCACATTTTAATTTCAGAATATTTTCGAGTCACATCGAATACCACTTTACAAAGTATCGATTCACAAATGTTTCAGAACTATTTACAAACCACTCTTTAATCAATAATTTGTAGTCTGCAGTGCCAAAGTAATGCAAACTACAAGTTATACGATCTTGTTTAAGTTCACCATTACCACGACCTCTACAATAAACGAAGGTGAAAACAAACGGAACACATTACCAGTTCATTGGTTTGGTTGAATGGTAAACACTGAAGCAACTTTGGTCGAACCTCACCAACATCTTCATAAAACGCTATTTGTTCAGCAGAAAGAGCAACAAACTGTTGCCGACGACTGCTCAACCAGCGTACATCTCGGAACATCGCTCCTAAGGCCAAAACATTTTATCACTTACAGGTATTTCAGAACATCCTATAATTCGTACATCACCAATTCCGTACATGCCAAATCCAGCCCTCAACACCTGTTATACCGTTTTTGAAATCCCTCCGGGTTGGTAGCGTTAAGCTCCCCATATTACCGTACTGTGTTCAAAAATTCAGTTTAAGTGAGGAGTGCTGTAGTAGCGGAAAACTTCCAACTCATCTCGTTTATGTATTTTTTCATTCTCAGTTTTTGTCGTAATCCGGTAACTGCTGTACACTGTTGAAAATGAACTCCCTCACTTCTACTGTCATGAAAACTTAGGGAACAAAAACATTCATTACGTCCCAACTATTATTATGAAAATGATATTCTCCACAGGATATTTATCAAAACTCAAATAAGAATGAAATCCCAATAATATTACTGACTGGATCAACTTCTGAGACAGTGTATGGGGCAGACGGAAATAAATGGTCGGAATCAAAGGTTAGACAGTTGAGGAGAAATGAAGTAACGTTTAAAATATAGTTTTACGCAGTGGAAAAGGAGACTAATGAATTGTGGACGCCTTGGAAGGTATTCTGTATGGTAACCTTACAGTTTGAAACAGCTTCGAGACCCATAACTCAAATGAATATTACTACAAATAATTGTATTTTGGAATCCCAAATGTCCAGGCATTCACCCTCACTTCAACGAGATGTCTGAGATACGAATTTCATAACCTTTGTTTGAAATTTTATTTCGGCGCAAAAAGGATGCTACTAACAAGGTATTATTATGAATGCTTGAAATTATTTCACTCAGTAGGGGAAGAGTGAAAAATATACTTTTAATTCACTCACAAAATTTTCTCTAGAAAAATATGATGCCCTATTCGACTGCCATCTCTTCCCCAAGCATATCAATATATCGAATACTGCATTGCGAAGTCCTTTGAATTAGTGCTTTTCTAGCCATTTTTTTAGTGTTTATTCAATATTCATCTGGGAGCAAGTAATCATTACCGGTACCATGTTCTTTTAAAATAATCCAATCAAATTTTTATGAAAAAATTTGAACTTATTTGTAACAAAGAGATGACTAGCACAGCCAAGAAGTTACCAAATTTGAATCTGATTTCCCTGATTCTTCAGAGTTTACTGGCCGATGCAAAATTAGTAGTATAACGAGCAGTCAGCTTCCCAAATTCCTATGATCATCTCAAACTAGTTGGAAGATTCCGTCTAATTTCAGAGTCTGTAACATAAAAGCAACGCGTAACGGTACCACAATGTGATGAAGAGTTTATAATGGGATGAGTATATTGGGTTATATCGGCACAGTTGTAACAGATCATCAGAACACAGAGAAGTAAAGCTAAAATGCAGGTATGATCGTCATTTTGCATAAAGATTACACTTTTATCGAATTTGCACCAAATCAGAACATGTCAGATAGACTAATGATATTTGAACTGAATTAGAATCTATATATTTTGTTTTGCACAGTAAGCTTGTTTATTAATATAAAATTTACCAGACAAGTTAGAAAAGAGAGGTTAAAGTGAGAATTTTATCAATGATCTGTTTTTAAAATATTTAATTGCTTTCTATTTGAACGAATGATTTTTTACTGTGCAGGAGCTTACAGGTGTATTTATCCTATCTGGTGATACCTGTCCCTTCCGACCAATGCATGTTATATAACCATTCCAAAAACTCGGTAACTTTCCAAGTTAAGCAGTTAATTTCAGCTCAAAATAACGAAAGCAACACGACCAAACTGTCATCCCAGTAGTATCCTGCTCAAATACACCACTTCCACCCCAAAGAAGGGACACGATGGAAGAAGGCCGTTGTATCCAACCTTGACTTACTCTATTCCCATGGTCACAACACGATTTATTGGCATTATGGTGGGTTGCTGCACGAAACCACCCACGATGCTAGCCAACGATACAGAACACAGCACTAGTTACTTCCCCCAACGCTATTTTGTCATTACTAAAATCAGGATTTGGGTATTTATGTCGGTCTTACTATTATCATTAATACGTTATCACATCAGAAACGGGTAACAAAACAAACATTATACTTATCTACTCTTTTCCTTCTGCACCCATTCATCCTCCCATCGTCTCTGCCAGCCAGGGAAATCAAACTTCTAGCCAAACTAGTTTGTCCTACAAGTATGGAGTGGATACGTCTTAATCACCATTAACTCGAGCATTTTGCAATTGCGTCGAAATCTGCGGATTCCAAACTTAGCAAAATTAAAAGTTGACTGAATTCGCACCTCATTAAATGAAGTGATCCCTTTACTGTTCCGTTATATGAAACAAAAGATATGTCACATTCCGACACAATAATATTTTCAGCGAGATTTGGCCACTGCATTCATTAAACCTTTTACAGTACAATCAAATCCATATCAATTTTCTGTAGATGTAGAACTCAGATTAGTGTATATATAAAACTTTTTGATCCCAGATTTCGATATCACATTTTTGGGCTTTTTTCCTATATGCGGTGTATTAAAGAATGAGCAGAATGCTTGAGAGATGCTGCACACAACTGCTCCCAACTACGGCTGATCCAGCTTGTCTACGCATTGTTGTCGCTGACTAAATATATATGAATTATTGGGAGCACTTTATACATTTATTTTCCTTCCATCCATTAAAATCTGACCTGGTATTTCATGCAGTTTAGAAATGGCTGGGTGGAATAAGAACACAGTACAACATACAGCAACTAGGTTACCACTATATTCTAACCGGAAAACCGGAAAAGTCATGGTAGTATCAGCAGACCAACCAGTGAATGGATGTAAATAGACGCCTCGACAGCCATCACACGCTTTTTCTGAAGTAAGCTTATACCAGAAATATGTATCAATTTTTACAACGCTACGAAAAAGGTGCACTGAATGGTTGCGCTGATATATTTCATAATAAAACTTAATGAGTTAATACATCTTCAAATTGAAAGTTTGAATTAGTTACCTTGAGAGGCTTAATATCACACTTCACAACAGTAATGAGAACATGTCTAAACAATGAATTCTTCAATGCAACACTTCACTTTTGAGACTTGGTCAAGAAATGGGATAAGATGCTCTTCCCCACACTTCGCCGACAGCAAAGTAGTGAACTTTTTATTATTACATCATGCTACATACCATAACTTTAGCAGTACTGCTTTATAGTAAGAAGTACCCCAAACACCTATTTTCATTGTCAAATTTCATCTCTAAGTAAAGGCCGTTTTATTGTCTTAGAGCTATACTTAGCGAGTCTTACTGAGAATGATAACACATTGGAGTTATATTGATACATCTTTGGACTGCAATGAGTCATCAATTAGTTCAGTGGCTCTTTGTACTATTTTTTATGAAGTAATCTTTACTTTGGCACCTGCTTGATGAACCGCACTAAAATTTTCCAATTTTAAAAAATAACCAACGATTCTATCCTCAGAGCATGGGAACATTTGTCGTCATTAAATTTATGCAACTCAGCAAGTAATTGCTGTATTCAAGCTACATCTCCTGAACTCAATACTGTGTGTCCAATAAACATCACTGATCTCTAAGTATTGATGGCATGTTAAGAAGTGTGCGGCGATATCGAAAATGAAAATCTGAAATTAAAAATACCGATTCCCAAGCAATCAGTTTAGTCTTAAGGATGATTCCTTTCTAGTCGGCTTTTAACGCCAGATTTTTGCTAGAGTATTTCAGTCAAATGATGAAGGTAATGGACTTCCAGATACCTGAACCTCACCAGTCTCTTATATTTGTTGAAATTAATTCAGCGTTTAGACAAATACAACTTAACCAACCCATAAGGCCATTTGTGAGAAATAAGGCAATAAAATTACATATAGGGATCAAGAATGTGAATGGAGAATGAGACAATAAAGTGAGCAAGCTGATCCATTAACCGAATGCTTTGAATGTAGCTCATCTCTTGACTCTCGATGATTTTCCGAGTTTTGTGTTACTTTCAAGTCCATTTCAGGACATAGCCTCTTCGCATTGGAACTCTGTACAACCTTCCGGTAATAGTTCAAGATGCACCCCATATACCACCAGAAAATCCGGCACCCCACAGTCGTCGCTTTCCAGTTGTTTTTGGCTTCCCATTATTGAATGGCCTGCAATAAAAACAATCACTTTTCAAGCAAAAGCACTTCAGGAGAGAGAGAGATACAATCTTAAACTGCCATAAAATTTAACCTCTCACAGTTTATTAGTTCACAAGCTAATTGATTTCCACTATCAGATAAAGATTGAGAAATGAAGATAATTTCACAACTTAAAACTCGATACCACTTTCACTATAAGATTAATCAGTCAGAGCATTTCTCTCGGCTATATATCGTTCTAATAGAAAGAAGATAATGTGAATAGTTAATTTTTCATCAACACTATGTGCATTAGTTCTATAACCCATAAATTTTGCTAAGACATTGTTGCAGTACTTTTTTTACAAGGTCCCAAATAGATTTTGTACAAGATGATTAAACGCAAATCTTGTAGAAGATGCAGAAATCCCAACCTTGAAATGTTAGAAGTATTAGTAAGAAAAAGAAAATTTCTGAATAACTGAGGATCACATAGGTGTATAAACATGGAAAAGAAACTGACTGCATTAAAAATCAACCTTCTGAATACGATGTTAGCCACATAAGGGAATAATTATCTGCTGTACCTGACTTTGAAATTTAACGGCAAAGAAATGACTAATGATGGGAATGTTGCATCATCAAGATGGTGGTGTAATGGTTATGAATGAACATCAGGAAATTATGAAACAACCAATGACAAATACCATTTGATTTCTGGTCTAATATTACAAAAGTATTTGTGGACAAAGAAGCAATTGAAATAAGTACGTTTTACCTCCAAGATGTCTTCTTGTTGATGCAGGTGCCAATGTAAAAGGCGACAGCAGAGAGCAAGACTGATACGATAATGACAACAAAGGCCCAGTTAGGTACGTGTTCACGGTCCTTCGATCCTTCTCCCATGGTAGAAACTGTTGGTTGTCTTGCCCTCACATCCATTACACTTAATAATTCATCCACTAGCTGCTCCGCTTCCCCACTTCCGTATTTCCCTCTGAGCTAAAATAAATTCTGATATTCCTCATACTGCCATATTTTGCGATCAGAATCGAAATCCATGCAGTTAACATTTCTGTTCCTTTATAACTATGGCTTTATACCACTAAGTCAACTGATGCCGTACTTGGCTGGCAAAAAATCGTGTATCTCACAAACGTTGAGAAAGCAATTCCCTCCACAAGAATAGGAGACTCCACATTACCTTCTTTTAGTTACTTTTCAAATAATCTCTTATCTAAATTTAATTTTCATTCATTATCTAACAGGAGTGAAAGCTCATTTTATTCTTCTTAGTACCTTTTGTTCTTTCCTTATCATTCTCAGTAGGCTGGCTATCTGGCACATTCAAGCAACATATTAAAAGAGCTGCTCAAATTCAATTAACTATGTCCGAAGGCTTCAATATTAGAACCTGAAGAAACATGTAAGCATTAGAAAGTGAAAATCCATTTCTGCTTTACGCCATAGTTTTATCCGCAGCATTCTTTTCAAACTGTTACCCTTCATCATCCAAGTACCTTAATGCTATGGAGGGAAAATAAAAATCTGTAAGCTTGATACATAAAAGACATCAAAATTCACAATTCTGTTTTAAATTCTAACACCGGTTGACGAAAACTATTCTACTACAACACTTAAAATTAACGTGACAACTAATCTGTTTTCAAAATGTTGGTAGTGAACCATGTGAATGAATATATTCTGTCAATAAATTATTTTCAGTGGCACACCCTAAACAAGTTTGTTGCATAAGTAATAGCAGAAGAGACAACTCAGGCCCTATTTATTTTCACTCTTCTCTGCGAGGCCCTTCTTCGCCTTGCCTTTTCAAACTTTTTCGTTGATTCGCACTCTCCCCTTTCCTGTTATATTTCTACCGGTGTATTGAAAATCCCATAACCAGTTTACTCTTCTTTTAAATTAACACTAAGAATTATGTGATATACCGTTAATTTCTAATGCATAGATAAATTTCCAATAAACTTGCCCCGTGCAAATAGCACAACATCACGCACACGCCCAGGATGGATGAAATGCTTTTAATCCCCCAAATATTTTTTCATTCAAATGTCAACAATTGCAGCTTTTGCAGCATAAATGCAGCAGCAAACAGTCTTTTTAAAATCACCAGGACAGTATACCTGACAGATTGCCACTAGTGAGAGGAAGACTAATGGTGAATGATGACATAATATATCAATGACAACGTTAAGAATTTCTGGGCACTGTGGAAATCATGCGGTAAAAACAGCACAGAACAGTGTCATCTAGAAATAAGTCATCTGCTTCTAATATTACTTTCAAAAATATTACTAAATTTTCTTTAAATCTTTCATGAGTAAATATACTATCCGAAGTTGATCTTCAGCAATTTTATCTAAATCTGCTTTCATTCTAAAAAGTTCAAAATGCAATCGCAGATTAGATTGTAGTGTGAGACAAATACCTAGAAATTGCCTGCAACTACTGTAGCTTCCATTTCATGACTGGTCACATTTGAGCAGTAAAAATTAGTGTTTGATTGCTTCCGTCTTGGGTTGTACCAAATCTTCAGTAATGAATCATATACAACATGTTTTTGTACAATCTCATTTAAATGAAGTGTAAAATCGGAAATTTAATTTCGTTCTTGAATATAGTATTTTATATACAGTATATTTTCAGCGAATACAGCGTATTTTATAACTCGTCATGAAACCATGCCGAAATGATGGACAGACCTACTGATGTTTCTTGAATAGCACACGAACTTCTATCAGTATATATTAAGTCGGAAATGCCATGGCTAGTTCTGTACCTTAACAATTAAGAAAAACGAAACAAAAACGAGGCATGCGAAAGATTACTTCACAATAGACCTAATGTTTCTAAATCAGGTCAACAAACCATTATACTAGAAACAGCAATAATTTAAGAAGTTATATTAATAATAATGACTAATATTATAAGAGTGTCGATAGTAATATTATTATTATCACTTATTATTATTGTTTTCTTTATTACTATTATCAACAGCAGTAGTAGTAGTAACAGCAGTAACGGTAGCAATAGGAGCAGTAGCAGTAGCAGTAGCAGTAGTAGTAGTAGTAGTAGTAGTAGCAGTAGTAGTAGTAGTAGATAAAGTAAGCTGGAGGAGCTGTTGCTATGGCAACAACAGCAGCATAGTGCGGAGGTTAAGCACGTTTGTGATACGCTTTCAAGTCAGAGGATAATTTGAATGGCTCAGCTGTTATATGTTTCAATTATACAACTGTGAGAGCATCGTACTGCTGCTGAAACTTAAAATATGTTAACCATCAACATTCCTGTTGTGTCACTCCCTGGTGATACTTTCGCTACCGGAATGTGGTAGTTTTGGCCAGACGTATGCCTCAATCCCAATCAAACAAGAAAGTCATGAGATTCTCCTTTCTTTCCCTGTCCTTTTCCCGCACTACTGCCAAAAAGAGTCAGTACTCTGAAACGTTCCTTTTTGAGCACCTGGTGATATCAAAAAACATCCGCATGACTTATAATTAAACCATTCATTTCGTACGACACTTCCTTATCAACAAAATTTAACTTCATCTTCATTAGCATATATATAAGCTGATAACGCTATAACTTATGTTGAACCTTAGCTGCATGAACATATTTCTAAACTAATATAGTCCAGTCCTCTTTTAGAATACTGCTTGTAGGTATAAACGAAAATTTCTAATTGCTTACTGAGAACTTATTAAAGAACAGTACTAATGAAACGGCTGTTTACATATTCCAATTTTTATCATTATTTTGTCACCATTTACAGGATCTATTCAGCTGAACACTTCAATCAAAAGTGTATCTAACAGATTGTGGGATGCCAGAATGGTATAACGTAATTTCCTGCACGTAATCACAAGTTAATCTGCGACGAGAGCCGTCAGAACTATGACCTGGTAAGATCGTAATTGCAGCTGACGCCATAAGGTACTAGTATTGCGACGAACAGATAAAACTGGAATAAGCTTCGACTGATGGAAAAGAACAATCAGCGCATCAAAATGACACGATAATTTGTCTGCCCATTTCACACTCGCCATATCTGCAAGTTCGCTCCAGTTTTGCCTCGAACTGCATTCCACCATCGCCACAATCATCGTTCCTCTACAAACAGGTCCACCATTTAATCCAGTGCATACGCCTTTTCTAGCAGAGTTACGTTTGAGAAACAAAAACAAATGATTCCCATCTTCTCTTTTTTAACGCTGAGAGAAGGAGTGGTGCCTAAGAATCAAAGAATCAATGAACTCTCAATCAACGTTCATATAATTTCATTTATTCAAATCACCTTTTTCCCATAATTTCTGTTGACCGCGAAGGACGCTCAGTCTCTCGCTGGCTCCCATTTAAACATGGTTCAAATCTGAAATTAAATCTATAAATTCAACCCCAACATACCTTAAAGGCAAAAATTAAATTGAGTCGAAACATATTAGCATGAATACGTGACACTGTTCAGAAAATAAGCATGAATGAACCATCTTTCTCTCCATTATGTGTATAGATATATGTACTGATAACAAAAATTTCAACATTATGTATAGATAGATAATAAAGAAAAAAGATAATAAAATTCATATGCAGCCATACATTTACATATTTGTTTCCTTATTATCAAGAAACTTATCAAAGATGATGAGGAATATTATATGATGGAAGTAGAGTTCAATTAAAACACGAAAGTTTAAGGAAAAAACCTGGAAGATATCTGCTTTTCAATGCTGTTAACCAGATGCTCGCTGTATAGAAAGGGTGATATGCAAATATGAGTCGTATAGTAGGAGCAGCTTGTACATTCTGAATCTATTGCAAAAATTCGTCTTGCATTTACTGAATTCCAAAACAGTACTGGAGCCACTATAAGTAATATTGGTCTATGAATACATTGCATCCGAAAAATCACCTGGAAGAAGAAAAACGTGTCTTAAAGAACAAGGAAAAAGGGGTGAATTCTACAGTATTCCTACATTTAGTTATCCTCGAATTTATTCCCAAATAGAATGCAATTGAGAAATGGGATGACACACTGCCAAAATCAAATCCCGAGCAACTAGCACACATGCTGATAAAATTACATATTCATGGGTAAACAAATCTGACGCCTAACTGGAAGTGTGAGTGAAGCTGGGAAGAGCTCCAATAAGGTTGCGAAATAAAAGTTGCCCTCAACTAACCATATTTAACTCTCTTTCTCAAATGATTCCATCATGCATTCGACGCTTTTTCGTCACTTAAAATACCTATAACTTATCCCTTATGTTGCTACAACAAAAACATTCCATCTCAACCTTCGCAGAAGGTATCATCTCCATATATCTCGTGTTAGTTTTCGAGAGCAGTATAGTACATGGAGAAATAAAGTACAAGAAGAGAGCAAATGAGATGCCTGTCTTTCCAAGGAATGCTATTATACAAAGCAGTGAAATACGAATGAGCTCAGTGGCACCTTCTCATATCCTTTCAATCATAATTTAATATCATCTTCCGGACATATTATCCACTCCTCTTCCTTCATTTGCCAAAAATTATTACCAAAAGCTCCAATATTTGCACTATGCATCATCACAATTCAATTTTATGCAAACAAGAAAATATAGAGGAGTAATCGGCTTATTATTCGTAATCATTCCGTTTTATTCCTTCACTCCCCCTCCATATCCCAGTTCTGCTTTCGCTACCATAAACGCCCATTTCTCTAACCACAAGAAGGAATATCTACTACTTTGAAAAAAGATTTAGAATGAGCTTTATTTATCAAGAGTTCAGGGACGACAGAAACTGAAGGATGTTGATTAATAGAAAATGTCTAAGTGGACAAATTCCGTTAGGTAATCACTTTTTGCTTTTACAAGACATAACTGGAAAAACTAACAGCAGAAACTCCCAATTTTTTTTTTTTTTGAACCTGCAATTATGTGATGACAACGAATCCTCGCTGGTGACCTGACTTGATCTCATACAGTTAGCAATATTTACAAAGTAAGTAAAAAAAGTGATAACCATTTTAAAGCACTCCGAGATATTCCTCTATAAACTAAAAACAATTAAAACTAGCCATCCTCAAAGCAAACAAAAATAAAAAGTAAAGCAAACGGGACACACTCTGTATATAAAAACTATAAAAGACAACAATAACAAAATAAAAGGAAAAAAAAAAACAAATCCCAAAATTATAAGTAAAAGTAAAACAGAAAAATCCCTAAAAAATGCACAAAAAAATCCAGTAAAACTCATTCCATCTTAATAAAAGCAGCCATGAATCAGTCACCTTAGGAAAGCTTTGGATCGAGAAATAAATTCAGAGAATAAGTCCAACATATTGTCCAAAAATTAAGGCGGTGAGAAATTAATAACTATGTTAACCACCATATTTCTGTAATAATTTCACAATCATTCACAACATAATTTTCTACCATAATATCAGAATTTCTTCATCGTGCTATCATCGTATCTTCATGTGACCGTCATTATATTAAGGTATTAACAGCTAGTAATGTCATGCTAACATATATAATTTGTGGTCACTATGGAACAGTTTAATATGGGACAAAAGAATTTTGATGAAAAAGTCGCTTTTTTGAAGGACGGAGAGAAATTCAATATCTTTCCTACTCAGCTCAATCATTTCGTGTTTATTTTTCAATTTTGCTTGTGAAATTACGAAGAACTAAACAAATGCATAAAACGAAAAGTATAACTGCAAAGATTAAAGGATTGAACTTGAACCCATTTTTCAAAGCCGAAAATATCTGCACAATCAATTGGCTGCAATTTATGTCTTACTTTAACATTTGCAGTCGTTGGCATATTACGATAGTGAACGTTGGGAGCTTAAACCTAGGAATATAGCTTGAAATATTTGAAGTTTTTTTGTTTGCCCAAATACTGTTAAAGGAATAATCATGTACAATAACTCCAGTTTAAACCAATTTATAACTTAGTTCTTTTCAGAAACAGTCATAAAAACAAATGATGTATAGCACAATCTAGGTAAATTTTTCACGTTTTGAATTTATGAAAACAATTCCTGTCCTTGATTAAAAAACCACCAGTCAAAAATTTTAAGCCAATTTTGATGTTGCCATGCAGTTTGTAGCACTCCAAAAATATGAAAAAAATTTTTTGGGAAATTATTCCTCCAACTTGAACTTAAAATTAAAGTAAGGATTAGTCTCATGATGAAAGATGTGAACTAAGCTTGAAAGCTTCCTGTTCAAATTTATACAATTACGCTTAAGATGTTCTAACCCTACGCACAGTCCTAACCTTAATCGCGTATATAAGAAGTCCAAGGTAGAGCCCAATTTTGAATCTTAGCCTAAGTGTAAACACAAATTCAATTTAAAGATAAAATCCAAAAGAAAATTTTTTGTTTCCAATGTCACGTCATTCTTTGCATTGAATTGAGCATCGCTTGCTTCATGTAAAACCCGAAATAGTGCTTATTTAAACTCTTTCTCATGACTTTGCTCTACCAGTTGACCTCTCAGATTACACGCGCTAACCGTATAGAGTCCCGAAGTGATTGTATGCAACACTGTCTCATCTGAGACGCTATGAATATTGAAGTCTCCCATTGTCAGTACAATTCTTCCGTTCCTTTCCTGTCTATCGTCACTTTCATTCTTCGTTCACCCTTAACTGTCTGGCATGAGTCATGTCATTATTTGGTACCTCGACGTCCCCTAATGTCCCTAAAAGGGTTCCGCGGTTGGGGAAGAAGTGTGGTCAGCATTTGTGTGAGTATGTACCTTCTTCGCAGTCTTTCGGTGGAGTTATTCAAATTTTTACAGTTCTTTTGGGAGCGGTTAAATAAGTTGGCGGTTCAAGCAACTTCCATCATTCATTGCGCTTTGTTTTTGTCTGACGAGCGGTAATGTCTTGATTTGTGTATGCTTAGCTACTCGAATCTGATGGCATAAATGGCATACACTATACATATGAATAGTACAGTAATACCAGTGTTAGTAACAGTAAGGGCATTATGCTACGAATTTTATTTATAACTGATAACGATAATTTGGTGTAATGGTTCAGGTCGCAAACCGTCTTGCACGGCTATATGCGGGGTTTCGCGAAGAGGAGCGAGCATGAGTGACTATGGTTCGTTCGCTCAAAGAGATGGGTTTTTCACCGATGAACATGGAAGGTTGGTTTTTTTTTGCAAAGTTTTGTCTTTGTTTATACTTACTCGGATCTCTTATTCCCATTCAAGTTTTCATACTAACCATATGTAGTTCAGAATTTCCTTCAACACATTTAACTTTGCGATTATTTCGAAGGAGTGATGAGAAAGACTTCGCGTCAACCGGGCAGCAGCTTCCTTCTGGCGATGTTGGGAAGCAGCTGCCTGCTACAAGCTTTGGGCAAAAATTTCCACCTCGTACCAGCCAAAATATTGAAGAGCTGCAGCTCTCAAATGACGATATTCGCGCACCAGATCTTGAAGATGTCAGGAAAGCCGCCAAACGCTTTATTGAAGCAACTATTACTAGTACATACGGTTAGTTTATTGAAATGTTCCTTCAACTAATAAAAAAATTTTTACGCTTACATTGAAAATGGTAGTAGTAAGTGGATTATGCTTTACTTATTGAGTCCAAATTGATTTGCTTTTGTTTTTTCTCATCTTCACTATTGTAAGGCTCCCATATGCTTCATAGTTAAAAGGATGTTTTGTGTTTGGACAACACTTTGATGATATCGCTTTCATGTAAACTATCAAATTGTTCCTTCCACTCAGTGCTGTTATAGACGTGGTTTACGTAATTTGGCTAAGAATAATAGCGTCTTCTCTACTGATGAAACAGATCAAAAATGACCTTGCATGATTTCAGTGGTGTTCTGTAACTTCACCTCGTTCGTATCATCTTTTTTCTTAAACTACATTGTAGTGTAAGAAAAAAGATGTTCGGAACAAACGGAAGTGGTATTTTAGGCTTACAAAATCAATCTGTAGACAAATGGGGCACCACCTATAATGGTGATGTTGAAGATACCGAATTTGCTCATGTTTTGGACAACTTGCCGACCTCTTACGATGATTTTGAATCAAAAGTGAGTGTAATTTTAAAATCTAGAAGTAATTTGTTCCGAAGTTTCAAAGTCGCTTCGTAATTTCTTAATTTGACGTTACTGTTTTTCAGGAACTGCACCTTAAATTAGAACGTAATTTATCGAGTCCACTAATGACTTGTCAAAGTCCCAATGCAGATTCTGGACGTGTATCTGCTGGTTCGAGTTTGACAAAATCTTCTAACATGTATCTCTGTGATGCTGGAAGTAATCCACCAGATGCGGACGATCTTGAAGTACGTCTCTTTTTTATATGTGTGTAACGAAATACTTTTTTGATTTGTACAATCTAGAGTCTTCAAATGCGCATCCCGTACTGGCTCCGAATTTTCAGGTTGCGATGATCAATCAGTCATTCGAAGAACAACAAAAGCAAACTAAGCTCTATGCTAGTCCCGGTTTAAAAGATCTATTCTATTCACAACCGAATACTACTGACGACCGTGTTACAATTAAAAATTTTGACAAGGAAGCAGTTAACATCGCAAAACATTCATTGCTGGTTGCTGCTGATACCCATAAAAGTGATTGCACTGAGGGACCACTTTTCCCTACGGATTTATTGCTTGCCGGTGTATCTACAAAATCAATCATTTCCAAGGAATCATTGACAATTGGTTCACCATGGACCGTCTACAAAGGTTAGAATTTCATATTGTGAAAGTTATTGCTATTAGATGTTCAATTTCGTCTTGGTAATATATCCCATTTGCAGAAAATTTTGTAAAAGAGATTGGAGCACAAAAAACGTCCGGAGGTCAGGAGGTCGCAAACAATCCGCTGTCACCCAAAGCAAATAGTGAATTCAGTTCAGGTCCTCAATTTCCACAATTTTTTCTGAGCTAGTTAAAAGCATTATTTGTAAACTATGTTTCAGAGTTTTCCGGCGTTTTTGTTTTTGATGCTCAAATTTTCTCATTGTGAAAACTGACTTTCTAGGTCAGCAAATGCAGGTTACTTCAATGAGTGCTAAACTCTTCATTTGTCACAAGCTTTCCTGAATCTGTCGGTGTAACTTTTAGACGATTGCAGCGATATCAGGGAATTTGATTATGATGGTGGTTCTTTTGGCGTAGAAAAAATTTTTTACTATATGGTAATTAATGAAAAAACAAGCGAATAATGAAGTGATAGTGATAATAGCATTCAATAGTAAATAAGAATACCTTTGGTGTGTTTAGATAGTATTAATTCCTACCCACTTTCAGAGACTAGTATCAGCTAAGAGTTTTTGCAGTTAGGTATCATTCCTTGTGATTATTCATGAATATCTTTTAAGCATCGCAAGAAGCATTTGGCAGTTCACTTGTTTCAATGAAAGTAATGTCAGCTTTGATGGGATCTCAGCATGTGAAAGGACTTCAGGCAAACATGTTTATTTCATTGTACCATTTTTCAGAATTTTGAAAGAACGGTTATGATCAAGAAAAAAAGCCGGTTTTTCTAAATGCACTGCAGTCAGTTGAGGCATTTTAGAGATTTTTTCGCCTATTATCTTCCTGCTTCATTTTGAGAACGATAGTTTTTCCTTTGAATCATTAACTTATTGCAGAGACAGGTAAGACTCAGACTAGCCACTGTTTTTTACCGTATTTGCCCTTTGTGAATCACTTCAGTTGTGTGAATTGTTTATCATCTTAGTCTTCGAAAATGGATGATAATGTAGTTGGCATTTGTTATGTTATGCATCTTTGTGGGCTTTAGACTTAAATTGTTTTATGTAGATATTTGTTTTAGAAACTTCATTTTCTTTGTAACGATATCAGTTATGTTTGTAGGATATTTGTACATCTGTAATAGATGATAGTATGGATGCTACTGAAGCTCTAGCTGTAGATGTGGTCGAAAGTCTTTTCGACAGAAGCGGGCTGGCTGAAACTTCATGTACTGCAGGAGATTTTGATAACCAGGTTTAAATTTGGCACGTTTTGCAAAGTATTGAACTCATACAACATATATACTCATACTCGAACTCATACAACATATCTTTCGAAATTCAAGATTTACAATTTCTAAGTAATAAGTGAAAGATTGTTTCTTCAGATCACTGGACGAAATAGTATGATATATTTGCAGCTTGTAACGGAAGTCGGAAATAAAACTTTAATGAATTCAAGTATTCCGCAGTTCTATGTAATTTCTACTTGGAACTGTTTGCAGAATCTGGTAAAAAGCAATAATGAAAACGATGTGCTAAAATCGGGCAATGGTAAGCCAACTTCTTTGACGGAATTAATAAGTGGTAAAAAGAAAGAAGGATCGGTAAGTAAAGAACAAAAGGAAAAAGATGAAACCGTGATATCCAGCAGCGATGCAGTCGATTCGTGGGAGGAACTTGACAACGATGACTACAGCTCCAAACTTGTTAATGAAGTTCGTGTTATAACCTGAGAAATAAATTTTTGGAACTGTAATTCTTTTTTGGACATATTTATGTGAGTTTTTCCAGTTGCACTTCCTTTGAAGTAAATGCAGAGAATCCTCGTAATTATTCAGGATGTTCTCCGCAGTAATTAATATAACACTGTCTTTCCGCTTTTAATTGATGAGTAATATGAAGTGTTGTGTAATTTCTTTAGATTTCCAGTTCATATCTATTTCACAGATCGAAGTAGCGATGTGTAAGGTGAAGATTCGGAAGCCGAAGATGAATTACTTTAGTGGACCTTCTGTTGATCCGTGGGATGATAATTTATTACCACATGTTTTGGAAGCCTTCAATCTTCCTGTTAAATTTACCGAAGACGATGTGAAGCAAGAATTGGCCAAACATGATTGTGCGAACGTCGCTATTTATCCTGTTGATGACACGCACTGTTTGGTCGTCTTTGCCTCAAAAAATGCCGGTAAATTTCGGAGAGTGTTGTAATAAGGGAATTGATGAATAATATGGAATCATTAGTTTAAGAAAAAGTCTGATTGTAGCTCTGCAAGCGATGATTGCTGTCCGACAGCAGCAAAGTATTGCTAAAGTGCGACTTCGTTCGTTGTGTGATGCAACCAGAGCTACACAAGAAAAAGCTCGTAAATATGAAGCAATCCTTCGCCCTCATAAGCAACGTCCTCAAACAACACCACTCGTGGCTCGGCGTCTCATCGAGGGTGCTCTTGGCAAACGCGCGAATGTTTCGGCACAACAGATCAGTAATGAAAGAAAACAGCTGAAAGATGCGAAAGGTTAATAGGTGTTATATTTTTGTTCATCCTTACAAGAAAGATGTACTGTAGCAGTATTGTAGTAAATATGGACAGGGATTTCCGAGTAAAAGCAGTTTTCAGTGGGTTCAAATTATTTCTGCTAAAATATGTAATTATGAAAACTCATGTGAGATGAGAGAATTTTTTAATCTTTGCCTACGTTTCAGATTTGAAACAAGCGAGGGCTGCAGTTTGGGAAGATGGTCCATAAAAATGTTTCTGGGGCGTGTCGTAATTTTCGTTGGGTGAACCAAAAAAAGTGCAATTGCAAATAATAAAAGCAGCGTAGTTGGTGGAAAATTGGTAACGATGCAAACTGCTTTTCTTGAAAAATTTCCAATAACTCGTTCCATTTTAGTGCTGTAAGAAGAAGTCATAATCAGTTTGTCCAGTTTGTTCTTCTGTTCAGCAGTTTCTCTTTTTCATTTACCAGTATTTTATTTGTTTTCACTTCATGTTACCTTTAACATTTTTTCAACTCCATCTCGCATTCTTTCAATTGTTTTCATGACGTCACGCTTCTTTCACATTACTGCGTAGTTTTTTCAAAGCAAGCGTGAGTCTTTTTTATCTGCTGTTTACAGATGTTATGTCCATTATCTTTTGTGAACATGATTATCACTGTCACATTGTTTTCTATTTTTAAAATCAGCACTTACCATTTTTTTGCCATTTCTTTTGAAAAGAAAAATTCGCATCCAACGTATTTTACTTTTGCTACGTTTGCTTTTATATTTTGCACTTTTTATATGGTTTCTTTTGTAGCGTACGTATTGACCAATTCTAAAATGATTTTGCAGTGAAAAAACATCGTGTTTTCTGGCATGGGCAAACTTGGAACATTTTTTCATATATGTATGAAAAATGCGTCTCTGTGACTTGCAGCTTTGTTGCAGGACATTCTCAATTGCTGGACATTTAATCCAGTGCGGTTGCGTTAATGATTTCGTCTCAACCCTGTTACAAAGCTACACTTTATTGTCGCTTTGCAGTAAATGTATGCGAAGTTTCAGTGCATGAGCTAGATTGATTATTTGAAATACATTGCGTTGTTTACGACCATTTAAGAATTCTATTGCACTGATGTCTTATTTGTTGGAATGTCACTACCTACATATATTTTCAAACAAATGATTTTGGTGATCAAATGAATATCTCTATAATTAGCGGTCAAAGCACACGATAAAAAGCCTTACTTTGTGGCGCTTTTTGATTTGTTTTTCCTCTGTCGATCTTTTATTTCTTCTCATAATTTTATTTTGTGTTAAATTTCTTGCTTGTAAAATTTTCAGTTCTTTTCAGACAAAACTGTGATTCGTGCTAGCACTTTGTGTTTCTTGCTGTTTGCTTGGCACCATCAGTAACGACTTTCTTTTCCTGTCATTTTCGTTTATGTGCTTTTTATGAGGCATATTTTTATGCTTAATGAGTGATGTATGTTTTCGCAGCACAGGTCTTGGGCTTAAATTCGAGTTTTGCATGGTTTGTTTTCCACTTTTGTTCCGTTTAAAATTGATTACTCAAAATTTCGACCGCAGTATTTTAATTCTCTCTGTGTGTGTGTGTGTGTGTGTGTGTGTGTGTGTATATGTATGTTTGTGTATGTGCGTGTGTGTGATATACCATCGGTTTTTTTCGTTTTTTTTAGTTACTGAGCTCGTCGCAGACTGTGTTATTGTTTGGATCACTATAAAAAAAAGGTGACGCAACATTTTTTTTCCTAATTTGCTCTTTGATAATATTGTACTGTTGAATTCATTACCATCATCTTCAGTAATAAATTTCTATGGAATTCTGGTCGGCACAAAATAGGTTTAATTGCAGGACATCTAGAATTCTTACTAAAGTTGTCGTATGAAATGTTTCCACATAGAATAAACTTCAGGATAAATTTAATAATTGTGAGATGTGATGAGCATTAAAAGAAGTGTGGATGATTCATCGAAACAAGATGGGTTGTCTCCACAGTATGTAAAGATACGTAATGAATGAGTCGGTGATGGGAGATCATCCAATGGATTTCGATCATCAAAGTTCTTAGTACGATCCATATAAGTTGTAATAAAATCACTACTAACATGGTGTGGTCTTTGGTAGAGTAATTTTTAGAGGATTGGTTGGAATTTTTATACAAGAGAAAAAAATCCGGAAGGATTTGCTCACAATGCTTTCTGCTTTGAACATGGAAGGGACAATTATATGTCAATTCATTAGTAAAGATGATAAAGTCATAATTATGCAGAATTCTTACTTAATTATAAGAAGAAAATAATAAGCATCTTAAGATTCAGAAAATTTATTTTCAGTGTGCTCTGAATCAGTTTAGTAGTTTATCATGTGATGGGTTTTTGTACTACATATTTACTGTCAAATGATCAGCTTTTTATGATGCTATTCTGTGTCGTGAAGTTTTCCATCTCTTTATTTACCTTATTGTCTTTTCTATATTCTCATTAAAACGTAAGTGATGCAATAATGAGAACAATTAATGAGATGTTTTTGTCGCTATATCTATGGGATTTTTCTTTTTTTATAAAAATACAGAGTTCTGTTTTAATATATCCTGCAGGAAATGAAGTAGTCAAACGGCATTCCTAGTTATGTTCTTTGGCAAGCCATTTATGATAATGCAGCTTTTAACTTATAGCTTGTATATTTTTTAAGTTGCCATACGTAGCAATGCAACAAATTCCCACTGGCATTGTTTCACAGACTGACTTTTTGATGCTCCCCCAAAACAGTTCCAGTTTCTTGAGATCATTTGTTTTCTTTTCTTTCCAAAAGTACGAAAAATTCAATTAAAGACTTTGCAGCTCTCGAGGGAATTTATTGATATGAATGAGTGTACAATATTAGCTGCATTTTGATCACAACACTTGTTTGCATATGAATTTTGTTATTGACATATAATTTGCATATAAAATGGAATTTCTATCTAGTTGATGTAGGGTATGGGGATGAATTATGATGGTCCATCTGATCAAGTTGATAATAAATAAAAGTGTTTGGTATTATTAGCTTTCGTTTACACAGTGCTTAATCATAATTTAAAAAAGACTTCCTTTGATCAGTTCAAATCTGTAATGGTCGGCTAATTGATGTTATGAGTGCACTGTGAATTTTGCATGTGATGGATAGAATATAGCTAAAGTGACTGAAGAATTTTGATAGTGTTAGTGGTGGGAATAGTATTAACATAGGAAAATCAAAAAAAAAGATTTTTTTGAAGTAAGTTATTTCAATATTGAATGGTAGAGAAATATAAACTTTAAATATAATATTATTTCAGTTCATCCATTACTCGTTATTATATCTTCAGTACGAGCCATCTCTTTGTAATGCATACTTCCTGGCATACGGGACTTTTGAATTAGGTTCATTAGTTTAGACGTAAGCCATCCATTGTTACAGCAAACATCAGTAAGTAGGTTGCTTACAGTTTTAGTGAAAATGAGACTCTGATTTAATTAAACCAGATTCATTAAATAATCAGGATTTGTTCATATAAGTTATAATTGAATTATTGAGAGTAATAAAGAGTTATCAACATTTATTTACTTAACAGCATATAATACATAACATTTTTCAAGTAAATTATCCAAATATGTTTTGGATGTATAACTTAGTAAAAGAAAATATATATCAGACACTTGAGCATTGTTGATTGATGAGGTAATATTTTATATAAAACGCGTTTTATTGATCAGTGAAAAGTGGAAGAGGTCTGTGGGCAATTGAAACTGCAAGGGAAGAGGTATGAAACGGGGAGAAAGAGGTGGAGCGGGATGCTGCTACTACAACCGCTAAATGCTAAATGCTCTAAGCTTCTAGAAGCTTGCATCTTGTTTCATCTTTCCTAACTTTTTACTAAGCTAGTCGTACTAGTCGTAGTAATAAAATTGATTCTAGTTTTCATATTTGTTAAATCAAGGCGTATAATTCATCTTTCTAACAACTTTGCTTTTCTGCATCTTGCATTGCAGCAACACTATGTATGCTTTGCTTGCATTTTGATATTGCTAGTATGTCGTGATCACTTTTATTCTTATTTATTACTATTATCATTCTCACCACAATTATTTGTCTTTTTACTTTTTTATTAGTACTACCAATTATTATTGTTGTTTTGAAAATTTTAGAGCTTTAAAACGTAGTCGTTTAGAACTCATCATTTTGTCATTGTTCTGTTTAAATATTGAAAAACGAAAAGAACAAGTATTATTATTACGTAAGGATTTGTTTGCTCTTCATATTTTTCTATGAGCTGAAATTGATATCTTAGGTCTTTCGTTTTTATACTTCCATGAAGAAAACGGATGAAATATATCATTAATTGCAACATTTTCTTAGTTCTCATAACTCATTTTTTTCCCAGACATTGAGAAATTCATTATTAATATACGTTATATATTACATATCCATTGTCATATTGCTTATGTTATTATCATTTCCGTCTCATTATTTTCTGCACTCATTTCCATAATTGAATTTAAAATGAAAACTGCTATTTTACACATGATAAAAGTCGCAGACTTCGTTTTTCTTTATCGTCTAGTAAAGTTATAACTTGTTGCCACTTGTTTTAAATTTAGTAGTCTGTACTCCTGATCTAAAAGATATCCATCAACTGAAATGATATTCCAGATAGCACCAGATATAACAGGATATGTAACTGATGGATTTCATTACTGCTAAATTCCTGGAATTTTACTCATATAAATTGTTGCAGTAATCCTTCCGCACTGGCTTTTTTAATCACATCTGTTTGAATTAGCATAGTAACGAATGTTGTGCATGTGGTATGGTTGCAGGAAAATTTAATTTTTATATTTGTTTGTAGAACATTATCTTCGATGAAATTAAGATAGCAATAATATTTTCAACTTATAGATAAAATAAAATTAAAGCGCAGACAATGAGCTGTTGTTGCCCATGACAACGAAATTAGAGCGAGATCACAATCCATCAAAGTGTTTCGATTGTTCGGAAGTTAACTTTGGCAAAATTGATAAAATTCGTAAATCTTAGAAGAAGAAAATGTTTTAAATTCGAGGCACTTTTAAAATTATATATATAAAGATACGTTATCTGTTTGAACTAATATTTTGCTGCTGGGACATTCACTCTTTTCATACTTCCACACTCATCTTATCCCGACTAAAGTTTTGCGACAAGAAAACTCCCATATTTCAAAGAATGTTGTTTGGATTT